ACGACCTTACCTTGGATGTGCATACAGAATTTTTAAGATGAAGATTCATAAAACCATCGCATGCAGCCAACATGCCACTGTATGTCTCCCCATTCTTTAGCTCCACCATCTGCAGCAGCAGCAGCAGCAGCAGCAGCAGCAGAAGCAGCAGCAGCAGCAGCAGCAGCAGCAGTAATTGTAACAGCAGCAGTAATTGTAACAGCAGCAGCAGTAGGAGAAGGAGCAGCAGCAACAATAGCAGCAACAGAGGAACAACGGGGATTTGGTGCAGCACGAACTAACAGTAGAAGAAGAATCTACAGATACAGCAGCAGCAACAACAATAACAGCAGCAGCAGCAGCAGACCAAGCAGCAACAGCAGAGCTAGCAGCAGCAGCAACACGTGAATTACCAGTGGACGGTTCTGTGCCGCGCGGAGAAGAGCCAATGGGAGCTGAAATACACACCAAACCCTAAACCCTAAACCCTAAACCCTAAACCCTAAACCCTAAACCCTAAACCCTAGACCCTAAACCCTAGACATCTGTTGGACCTCCAAGACATCAATTCTTTATCAATAACTTGCAGAGGAAGAAAAGGACAATAGGGTTCTATTCGCCAGCAGCAGCAGCAGCAGCAGCAGCAGCAGAAAGAGCAGCAGTAGGAGCAGCAAGAGGAGCAACATAAGAAACAGCATTAGAGGAGGAGGCAGCAGCAGCAACAGCAGCAGCAGCAGCTGCTGCTGCTGCTGCACCAGAGGTTTCATCAAATGCAGCAGCATTAACAGCAGGACAAGCGGCGAGGGAGCAGCACGATATTGTGCAGCAGCAGCAGCAGCTGCTGCTGCTGCGGCTGCTGCTGCTGCAGTACGTGGGAGTTTGTATTCTCCTTCTGCATAGGGGGAATATAAAATGTATTTAGCAGCGTAAAACTTTGAAGAAAAAGAGAAAATAAATGCTGCAGCAGCAGCAACAACAACAACAACAGCAGCAGCAGCAGCAGCAGCAGCAAACTGACCGGCATCTTCTTGCTGCAGCAGCTTGTTGAGGTGTACAGACAGCTTAAGAAGAAATAATAAATAAAAGGAGCAGCAAAAGAGAAGAAATAATAAAAGATAAGAAGATGCAGCAGCAGCACAACAATACTCTATGAGTAGCCGCAGCAGCTGCTGCTGCTGCAGCAGCAGCAGCTGCTGCAGTTGCTGCTACTGCTCGTTTGCTGCAGCAAAAACAGCAGCAAAGCTGCACGCCCTATTATTGCTGCTAATTAATTAGCAGCAGCAAATTAATAAAAGTAAATGCATGCATTTTGCAGCTAATTAACTTCTTCTTTATATATATAGCAGCAGCAGCAACAGCAGCAGCAGCAGCAGCCGCACAGTAACAATCGCCTCGGGGGGCCCTACGAAGGGGGGCCCCTCCGGCGAGGGCTTAGGGTTTAGGGTTTAGGGTCTAGGGTCTAGGGAAGCGAACTTATATAAACATTTTTATATAACACCTTCTTTCTGTTTATGCTGCTGCTGCTGCTTATGCATTTGCTGCAGCAATCTGCAGCACTCGGAGCAGCAACAGCACCAGCAACAACAACAGCAGCAGCAGCAGTAATAGCAGCAGAGGCAGCAGCACCAAGGCCATACACCTCCCTGCAGAAGAATCAGCAGCAGCCGCAGCAGCAGCCTCGTCAGCAGCAGCAGCAGCTGCTGCAGTAGTCGGGCAATGCAGCTTGCCGAGCCTCTTAAGCCGCGCACACTGAGCTGCAGCAGCAGCAGTTGCTGCTAGCAGCAGCAGCAGCAGACACAGTATTCAGCAGCAGCAAGGTTCAACTTCCAACCAGCGCCCCGTCGGTGCGAGTGCTGCTGCTGCTGCTGCAGCAGCAGCAGCACCCGTATACCGTTATATAATAAGTACAACAGCAACGGCAGCAGCAGCAGCAAATGCAGCAGCAGCAGCAGCAGCAGCAGCAGCAGGCCACCTGCGTAGCTGGGTTGCGTGTAGAAATACTACCGCTGCTAGGATGCACTGACCCTGCACTCCGCGAGCGCGCTGCTGCTGCTGCAGCAGCAGCAACAGCAGCAGGAGCAGCAGGAGCAGCAGGAGCAGCAGAAGATGCTGCTGTACTGCCATTCGGGGAGGGAGATGAATTATGTATAGAAGCAGCAGATTGTCCGCTGTCTTTGCTGCTGTCTGTGTCTCCTCGTCAGCAGCAGCAGCAGCACGAACAGCAGCAGCAGCAACAGCAGCAGCAGCAGCAAGGAGAAGCAGCAGCAGCTGTCTATACACTCGGAAGAAAGAGAAGTTCTCTATTTCAACTACGTGATGATGTTATTAGCCAACGGCATTGTTTGCTGCTGCTGCAGCAGCAGCAAGACAGCAGCAAGCTGCAGCAGCAAACCTCTTTGCTGCTGCGGCCCCTTCTTGCTGCGCTGCAGCAAGCAGGGCTCTCCTTATCTCCTACTGCTGTTGCTGCTGCTGCTCCTGCAGCACATACTAACGGCTCCATTCCTAGTACTCCTGCAGCAGCAGCAGCAACAGGAGCAGCAGCAGCAGCAGCTGCTGCTGCTGCTGCTGCTGTGTCTTCTGTAGAGGTTGTCTTTGAGTGTACAGACACCTCAAAGGGAGACATCGATGCTGCTGCTGCAACACCTAGCGACCCGCTGCAGCAGCAGCAGCAGCAGCAGCAGCATAGTGACGATCCGGACATAGTAGCTGCAGCATCTGTTGCTGCAGCAAGTGCTGCAGCAACAGGTTGTGCTCGTGTACCAGCAACATTGCTGCTAGGATATGCTGCAGCAGCAGCAGCAGCAGCAGATCTTGCTGCTGTCTTTGTTGTAGACAGCAGCACGAATGGCTCATGGATCGATGCTGCTGCTGCTGCTAAAGGAGACACTGTCTCTTGGCCCCCTACTAGTGTATTGTCTCTTGCTAGACCACGTCAGTACCCTTTGCTGCTGCTGCACTTGCTGCTGCTGCTGCTGCTGCACTTGCTGCTGCTGCTGCTGCTGCTGTGGTTGCATCGGTAGGCTTGTCTTCGTGGTGCTGATGATAGTGCTGCTGCATTTCTGTGCTTCCTTTGCTGCTGCTGCTGCTGCTGCTGCACTTGCTGCTACCCGGATTGTTGCTGTAGCTTAGCCAAACCACTCCATGTGTTGCTGCTGCTGTTGCTGCTGCTGCTGCTGCTGCTGCTGCGGTGTATGTACAGTAAGAGAAGCAGGCCCTCCTATTGCTGCCTTTCGTTGGCGAGTTGTCCTTCGCCTTTGTGCTGCATGCAAGACACCGGGAGCCCGTTGTTGCTGCGGCACGCAGCAGCAGCAGCAACTGCAGCAGCAACAGCAGCAACAGCAACTGCAGCAACAGCAGCAGCAACTGGATAGACGGTCATCTGCGCACAGGCGCAGCACGTCACAGTGTACAAGGTCACAGGAAAGTGCTGCTGCTGCTGCTGCTGCTGCAATGCCTGCAGCAACAGCAACAGCTGCCCCAGAACAAAGCATTGGTGCAGCAGCAGCAGCAGCAGCAGCACCAGCAGCAGCAGCAGCAGGTGGTATTGCTGCTGCTGCTGTCCCTCGCCTACCTGCCCTTTCTGAATCTTACAAAGGGACTGCATCAGCAGCTGCTGCTGGTTACTACTACCAGCAGCAGCAGCAGCAACAGCAGCAGCAGCAGCAGCAGCAGGAAATCCCTAGTACGTTAACACCACGTGGCTCTGGCAGCCGCAACAGCAGCAGTAGCAGCAGCAGCAGCGCAGCAGGCAGCAGCAGACTTGCTGCTGAGCTGCAGCGAGCTGTACAAGAAAAAAGAAGACTAGAGGATATGCTGCAGCAGCTGCTGCTGGAGAATGAGGAACTAAGAGCACAGGTACTGCTGCTGCTGCTGCTGCTGCTGTTGCTGCTGCTGTTGCTGCTGCAGCTGCATCTTTAATGTGTTGTGTTACTTGCTGCATGCTGCGTCTGCTGCTGTTGCTGCTGCTGCTGCTGCAGGCAGAGCAACTGGGGGAAGTAAAGGAACAACTCAATGCTGCACAGACTGCAGCGCGTGGTGAGACCTGCTGCTGCTGCTGCTGCTGCTGCTGCTGCTGCTGTTGCTGCTGCTGCGTAGTATTAGTAGCTTCTGCTGCTACTCTGATGCTGCTCTGCTGCTGTTTCCTTGCTGCCGCTGCTGCTTCTGCTTACTTGCTGCTGCTGCTGCTGCTGCTGGTGTGTCTGTCTGCAGGGGAGATAGAGACACTGCAGCAATTGCTGCGGGAGGCGCAGCAACGAGCTGCTGCTGCAGAAGCAGAGGCGGTAAGTTGCTGCTGCTGCTGTTGTTGCTGTTGCTGCTGCATTTGCTGTTACTGCCGCTATAGCATCTGCAATAACTGCTGCTGTTGCTGCTGTTTGGTCTTATTGTTGTTCTTGCTGTTGCTGCTGCTGCTGCTGCAGGAGTCTCTAAGGGCCGAAGTTCGTGCTGCTGCTGCGCGGCAGCAGCAGCAAGTCACTGTGCTGCAGAAGACGAGGGATGTATATGCTGCACAGGCACAGGTAAACTCCTTGCTGCTGCTGCTGCTGCTGCTGCTGTTGTTGTTGTTGTTGTTGTTGCTGCTGCTGTGCTTGCTGCTGTTGCTGCTCTCCGCAAGTATAGCCTGTGGCATTTTTAGTACCTAGACGCTGCTGCTGCTGCAGCAGGAGCAGCAGCAGCAAATCGTCAAGCAGCAGCTTCTTTGCTGCTGTCATGATTGTGTGCATGCAGGCACTGCGTGATATGTTCACGCAGCAGCAGCAGCAGCAGCAGCAACTAGATCAGCTGCTGCAGCAGGAGGGGAGACCGTCACAGAGGGTTCCTCATATAGATCTGCAGCAGCAGAATCTACAGCAGCAGCAACAGCAGCAGCAGCAGCAGCAAAACGGCTGCTGCAGGGAGAATTCACCATTTGATTTAGACCGCAACGGCAGCAGCAGCGGCAGCAGCAGCAGCAGCAGCAGCAGCAGCAGCAGCAGCAAATCATCTTGTGGGGACAGTTTGTATCAGATGTGTACACTGTCTCCCTTAGCTGCTGCTAGCAGCAAACGGCTGCGCACAGACTGCAGCGCAGCAGGAAGGGAGACACCTAAATAAATATGCATGCAAGCAATACATGCAAGCCCCAAATGCATGCAAATTACATGCATGCAAATTGCATGCATGCATGCATGCAATTTGCCAGCCCCAAATGCATGCATGTCTTTGAATAGGGGCAAAATATTTATTAGATGTTTTCTTTCCTTTATTTTATTATTTGTCTCCTCTTGTCTCCTTTTTTGTCTCCAGCAGCAGCAGCAGCAGCTGCTGCTGCTGCTGTTGCTGCTGCTGTCTTAATGCTAGTTCTTATTCTTATACAAGAGGTGCAACAGAGGCACAAGCAAGGAGATACAGTAGCTGCTGCAGCAGCAGCAGCAGCAGCAGCAAAGCAGCAAGATGCATGCAGTAATATATAGATGTTGCTGTATATTGTTTGGTGCAGCAAATAGCAACGGGAAGAATTGGCAACAGCTGCTGCTGCCGCTGCTGCTGCTGCATGCGCGCATGCATGCATGCAGATTACTCAGTGTATTGGTCAGTAACTCATACACACTGCTACACACTCTGCAGCAGCAGCAGCAGCAACAGCAACAGCAGCAGCAACGGCAACAGAAGCAACAGAAACAGCAGCAGCACCAACAGCATAAGCAGCAGCAGCAGCAGCAGCATCTAGTTTGCTGTTCTACTACTAGGACACCTTCACAGGTTACGGGGCTGCAGCAACTTGCTGCTGCAGCAACTTGCTGCTGCTGCACTTAGCTGCAGGTACCTACTCATAGCCACAGCTAGCTGCTGCTAGTCACAGCTAGCTGCAGCAGCTAACGGCAGCAGCTAGCTGCTGCAGCTAGCTGCAGCAAGCATCTAATATAGGGGGGCATAGAGGAAGTTAATAGAGGAAGAAGGAGGAGAGGTGAATAGAAGGAGAGACACATAAGCAGCAAATAAATAAATAAATAAATAAATAAATAAATAAATAAATAAATATAAATAAATAATAAAAAGGAAATTAAGTAATATAATTGTTTATTGAGATACAATACTCGGCAGAAGTCTAGCAGCTCTACAGCAGCAGCAGCAGCAGCAGCAGCGGGAGCAGCAGCAGCAGCAGCGGGAACAAGTGCTAAAGAAATATGCAGCAGCAGCAGCAGCAAAGTTGCTGCTGCTCTGTTAGTGTTAGCTAAAGAATAAGAAGATAATTATCTGTTAATTAGTAGCTGCATTAAACAGCTGCATCAGTAGCAGCAGCAGCAGCAGCAGCAGCTGTAGTAGCAGCAGCTGCTGCCGCCAAGGCGGTGCAGCAACATGGCGCTGTAGGCGCTGCTGCTGCTGCTACTGCAGCAGCAGCAGCAGCAGCAGCAAACACCAACAGACACGGCGAAACCTAAAAGCCCTTGATGAATATATGAACTAATAATAAAGATCTTAACTAGAGTCAAGTATTGTAAGCAGCAAGAACACCAGCAGCAGCAGCAGCAGCAGCAGCCGCCGCAGCAGCAGCAGCACAAGATCGACAGCCGCGGCGAGCCGCAGCAGCCGCCGCCGCCATCGCGCAGCTGCCGCTACAGCAGCAGCAGCGCAGCAACAGCAGCAACCCCACTGTTTTCTTTGTATTTGTCATGCAGAATTGAAGCCAAAAGGCGAGCAGCAAAGACAGATGCAACCAGCTGCAGCAGCAGCAGCAGCAGCAGCAGCACCGTCGTAGCTGCAGCAGCAGCAGCAGCAACCGTGCAGCAGCAGCAGCAGGGAAATGGCCTCACCTTCACACTTTATAAGAAATACAGGTCTATAGTTATTTGTGCTGCTTTATAAGGGAAAACAGCAGCAGCAGCAGCAGCAACAGCCGCAACAGCCGCAGCAGCAAATACTGTAGCAACTGCAGCAGATGCCCAGGGGCCCGCACGTGGACGGCTGCACGCGCAGCAGCAGCAGCAGCAGCGGCAGCAGCAAGAGCGTATCAGAGGCATGCTGTTGCCGTGTCTGCTGCACCATTTCTTGCTGCTCAGCTGCTGCCAACGCGGCAGTAGCAGCTTAAGCAGCAGCAGCAGCAGCAGCAGCACGATCAAGCGCACCAGCAGCAGCAAAGAAAAGGGTGCACCTGCAGCGTTTTTTCTTCCCTTAAACCCTACGTGACAGCAGCAACAACACGAAGGGATACAGCAGCACCTGCAGCAGCAGTAGCTGCTGCAGCAGCAGCAGCAACAACAAGAGCAACAGCAATATCTGCTTCAGCAGCAGCAGCAGCAGCTGCAGCAGCAGCAGCAACAATGGATGTTGTAGAAGCAAATGCTGGAGAAACCCTCTGGTGGGACAGTGAGTCTGTAGATGCCGAGGCAGCAGATGCAGCAGCAGCAACAGCAGCAGCAACAGTAACAGCAACAGCAGCAGCAACAGCAGCAGCAGCAACAGCAGCAGCAGCAGCAGCAGATCCCTTTGAAGTTGGCCGCCATGATTTGCTGCGGCGGTCGAGGAGGAAGCAGATTGCTTCCCCACGGAGTGTATCTGCAGCAGCAGCAGCATCTAGTTGCCTTCCTGCTGCAGCAGCAAACGGGCACTGCAACAGCAGCATCAGCAGCAGCAGGAGCAACAGCAGCAGCTGCTGCAGCTGCAGCAGCAACGCCGCAGCGACGCAGGCATTTGCTGCACAGCGCAACAGACCCAGGAGCGAGCTGCAGCACCACCCCACACAGCAGCAGCAGCTGCAGCTGCAGCTGAAGCAGGTGCAACTGCAGCAGCAGCAGAATCAGGTGCAGCAGCACCAACAGCAGCAGCAGCAGCAGCAGTTGCATCAGCTGCAACAGCAGCAACAGCAGCAGCAGCAGCAACAGCATTCATCTCAGCGCCGATGCGAGAGACGGGCCCCTGCGGCTCGAAGCAGCAGCATCCCTGCAGCAGCAGCAACAGCAGCAGCAATGTCTCAAGAGCAGCAGCAGCAGCAGCAGCAACAGCAGCAGCAGCAGCAGAAACAGAGATTGAAGCAGCGCTGCAAGGCTTGGCTGCAGGTAAGCCCACGAGGCACAGTTGCTGCAGGGAGTCGTGCTGCTGCATCTGCTGCTCAATCAGCAGCAGCGCATGCAGCAACAGCTCGTGCAGCAGCAGCAAATGCAGCAACAGCAGCAGCAACAGCAGCAGCAGTTGCTGCTGCTGCTGCAGCAGCAGCAGGACAGCGGCATACAAAAATCCCCCGTAGGCAAGTTGGTGTCCCTCATGCTTCCTTACATTTATTAGATTTAGGGGGTAGCTGTTCTGCTGCTGCTGCTGCTGCTGCTGCAGCAGCAGCAGCAGCAGCTAACCGATCAAAGAAGAATAGCAGCAGAATGCTGCTGTCTAGACACTCCGAAGCAGCAGCAGCAGCAGCAGCAGTTGCTGCTGCTGCATGCATCAAGCTCAGCCCAGCAGCAGGCGTCTCCCAAAGGGAGTCGATCCCTGATGATGGATTATATGTACCTACTAATAAATTCAGGGGTAAGCAGCAGCAGCAGCAGCAGCAGCAGCAACAGCAACAGCAGCAACAGCAACAGCAGCAGTAGGAGCAGCAGCAGCAGCAGCAGCAGCAGTAGGAGCAGCACCTGTAACTAGATAGGTTTGTTTATTTATCGTGTATGTCTCCTCTCTGTACTCATGGTTCCCTGTCCCTGTTGCTGTTGTTGCTGCTGTTGTTGCTGCTGCTGTTGCTGCTGCAGTCTAAGCAAATACCTCCGCATGCAAAACGCATGCTGCTGCTGCTGCAGGATGTACCTGCTGCTGCACTTGCTGCTGCTGCTGCTGCTGCTGCTGCTACTGATGGTGCTGCTGATGGTGGTACTACTGCAAACAAACGAGATCCCAACAGCAGCAGCAACACTAGCACAACCAACGGCAGCAGCAGCAGCAGCAGCAACAGCAGTAACAGCAGCAACAGCAGCAACTATATATACAGATTGCCATGGGAAGCAGATTTAGAGATAACTTGCTGCTCGCTCAAGTGCAGCAGCAGCAGCAGCAGCAGCAGCAGCAAACAACAACAACAGAACCCAACAGCAACAACAACAACAACAACAGCAGCAACAGCAGCAACAGCAGCAGCAGCAGCAGCAGCAGCAGCAGGGCAGCAGCTAAATGCAGCAGACGTGCAGCGTCTTTGCTGCTGTCATTCATTTAATAAGGCATTAGATTCTATCTGCAGCAGCAAAGGCATAAAAAAAAAACAAGAATTCGCATACAGTATGCTGCTGCTGCTGCTGCTGCTGCTGCTGCTGCTGCTGTTGATGGTGCTGCTGCTGTTGTTTTTTTGCTGCTGCTGTTTTTGCTGCTGTTGCTGCATTGAGTTGCTGTTGATGAATTGAATGCCTGTTTGCTGCTACTAATGCTCGTTTGCTGCTGCTGCTGCTGCTGCTGCTGCTGCTGCTGCTGCTGCTGCTGTGTATTCAGGTTTAGCTCGTCCCGTGAGTGCCATGAGGGGATTAATATTTAGTCGTCAGTTGCTGCAGCTGCTGCAGCAGCAGCAAGTGCAGCAGCAGCAGCACGGGCATCTATTTGCTGCTCTATGGGGATTAGCTATGCCTAATAAACCTATGCATAGTACGAAGGATTGGAAACTATTAGGATTCCAGGTCTGCTGCTGCTGCTGCTGCTGCTGCTGCTGCTGCTGGTGTTGCTGCTGCTGCTACTGGTGTTGCTGCTGCTGCTGCTAGGGGTTGGGAAGTTGTTCTGCTGCTGCTTTGATGAGATTTTTGTGCTGCTGTGTAGTCCTGCACGCTATTGTTGCTAGTGTTATTGCTACTGCTGCTGCTGTATCTGCTGCATCTGCTGCTGCTGCTGCTGCTGCTGCTGCTGCTGCTGCTGTGTACAGGGAGAGGATCCATCAACAGATTTCCGTGGTTGTGGTCTATTAGCACTAAGAGCTTTATTATTTCTTTGCCGTACTTTTCCTCTATTGGCGCAGCAAATGGTGCAGCAAGGCAGCAGCAGCAGCAGCAACAGCAGCAGCAGCAACAGCAGCAGCAGCAACAGCAGCAGCAGCAGCAGCAGTAACAGCAGCAACAGGAGTCATGGGTCCTGCTGCTGCTGCTGTAACTATTCCTTTGCTATAACATTAATAAATATATCTGCATGGGTATGGCAATGGCTGCTGCTGCGGCCACAGGTTGCTGCTTATTTTTGCTGCTGCTTGTCTGCTGCAGCAGCAGAAGCAACATATTATTATTTATTTTCTTTTGCTGCTGCACAATTCAATAATTATTGGCATGCATGCAAGCCCCAAACTCCTCTTGATTTCCCTTTTGTTGCTGCTGCCTTCCAGCAGCAAATCTCCTTCCCTAAGGATACACCTGCATGCAAATTGCTGCTGCAGCACGAGCAGCAGCAGCAGCAGCAGCAGGTACTCATGCATACCATCCAGCAGATACATAACCAACAGCAGCAGCAACAACAACAGGTACAAGGATCAACACAGACTAATCATGCTGCAGCAGCTGCTGCAGCAGGAATTTTCTCGACAGCAGCAGCAGCCGCAGCAGCAGCAGCAGCAGCAGCAACAGCAGATAAGGCCCTACATGGTATCTGCCCTTGCTGCTCCGCGGAGATCCCCCAGTCCCCTTGGGAACGCTTCTGCTGCCAGCAGCAGCAACAGCAGCAGCAAGTGCAGCAGCAACAAATGCAACAGCAGCAACAACTGCAGCAAGCGCAGCAACAGCAACAGCAGCGGCAGAAAGGGGGACAACGCATTAGCACTGACGGTGTACAACCATATGCTGTAGAACCGTCAGCAGCAGCAGAAACTGCAGCAGCAGCAGCAGCAGCGGCAGCAGCAGCAACAACAGCAACAGCAGCAACAACAGTTGCTGTCGGTGCAAACCGAGGTGCAGCAGCACCAGCAGCAGAAAGGATCCGCAGCAGCAGCAGCAGCAGCAGCATCAACAACAGTTTTGTGAGTACCGAGGCACGAAGTTCGCTGGTCCTGCTGCAGCAGACGCAGCAGCAGCAACAGCAGCGGCAGCAGCAACAGCAGCGGCATATTGCTGCTGCAGCAAACGCCAGCTCCGATGGTTACGGGACAGATATGGTTTGCTGCTGCAGCAAGAGCAGCAGCAGCAGGAGCCGCGAGAGCAGTAGCGAGGAAAGCAGCATTAGCTGCAGGGCAACGGGAGCAGCAGCAGCAGCAGCAGCGGCAGCAGCAGCAGCAGCAGCAGCAGTAGCAGCAAGACTACAAAGCTGCCGCGAAGCAATCATGGAGCTACAAGGGCATGCAGCAGCAGCAGCATCACTAAGAAGAATACAATCAAGAGGATCTGCTGCTGCTGCTGCAGGTCCTCTTGCTGCTGCTGCTGCTGCAGGACCACTTGCAACAGCAGCAGCAGCAGCACCTCTTGCTGCAGCAGCAGCACCTCTTGCTGCTGCTGCAGGTCAAGGAACGCGCTGCAGATTAAGTGCCACAGCAGCAAACTGTTACTACTTGTCGGGGTTGAGCAGCAGCACCAGCAGCAGCTGCTGCAGCAGCAGCAGCAGCAGCAGAAGACTTGTAAACTCTTTAGCACATGGCAGTAGTCCCAGTGCTGCTGCTGCTGCAGCAGCAGCAAGAGCAGCAGCAGCAGCAGCAGCAGCACCAAGGCATGCAAGACAAAAGGCCTGCTGGGTGTCTCCGCCAGTAACAGGCAGCAGCAGCTTTGCTAGCAGCACGAGGAGTGACTGTAAGATATCTGCTGCAGCACCAGCAGGTGCAGCAGCAGCAGCAGCAGCAGCAGCAATGCAGCAGCAGCGTCTATCCCGTGCATGCGCATCCAGTGTCCTTGTACCCCGTAAGGGAACCAACAGGTAGCAGCAGCGGTGCTGCTGCTGCTGCAGCAGCTTCTGCATCAGCAGCTACCGCTCTGCTGCAGCAACAGCAGCAGCAATAAACAACAACAAGAACAACAACAACAAAAACAACAACAACAACAACAACAGCAGCAGCAGCAGCAGCAGTGGCCGTTGCTGCTGCTGCTGCAGCAGCAGCAGCAGCATTTGCCTTATCTGTATTAATTTGTCAGCTAAGAGGCTGCCTCTTATAAGACACCGCTAGGTGTCTCCTTTTCTTTGTCTCCTTTGGCAGTTCGAGGGACAAAAGGGCAGCAGCAGCAGCAGCAACAGCAGCAGCAGCAGTAACAGCAACAGCAGCATTGCTACTGTTGTTGTTCTTCCTGCTGCTGCTGCTGCTGCTGCTCTTTTTGCTGCTGCATGCATGCCCGTGCAGCGTTTGAATGGTGCTGCTCCAGGATGCGCAGCAGCCTGTGAGACAGCAGCTGCACCAGCAGCAGCAACAGCAGCAGCTGCTGCTGCTGTTGCTGCTGCTGCTGCTATTTACACATGGAGTAGCAGCTGCTGCTCTCTCCGCAGCTGCTGCTGCTGCTGTTGCTGCTGCTGCAGCAGCAGCAGCAGCAGCAACAGTTTGAAAGGAGAAACAATGACAGCGGCGATGCCGACAAGATATGTTCAAATATACGTTGTTTATATGGGCTGCTGCTGCTGCTGCT